TCCCAGCCACCCCGCGCCACTGCCAGCTGACCGCCTAGCACCGTCCAGGCGCCCCAGCCGCCGAGAGACACCTCTGATTTGCCGGCGGCGTCACAATGAATGATGGAGTAAACCTTGGTGGGCTCCCAAAGCTTGCGCTTGCCGTTGAAATGGTCAAAGAACTGCTGCCAGAAAAGCAAGTCCTCCCGAGCTTCATCTGAAAGGGGCAAGTGGGAGCTCCAGGACCGGCGGGTTTCAATTAACCTCCCGAGGCCCCTGGTGCGAAGCCGCGACCAGGGGCCGAAAGCCCAGCCCATGGCGAGGAGCTGGCCCTTAATCGAAGCCAAAGCGCGGACAGGGATGCGCCGTGAGTTAAGGGTGAGGTTGATGGCGTCTAAGACACGGGTGCGCTTGTCCTCTGGTACGATGAAAACGCCTTCCTTGGTGTCAAGGAGCATGCCCAGATAGCGAAAACGTTGCGCGGGGGCCCCTAGCATCGACTTCTCCCGGTTGACCACGAACCCCAGATTCTCCAGTTGGGCTAAGACAACCTCCCTCCGCCGCACCAACCGCTCGGGGTCTTGGTCCGCATGGAACTGGTCGTCGAGGTAGCCACTGCACCTCCAGCCCCGCCGCCGCCAGCCCCGAAGTACTTCGCGCGTGAGCTTCGTGAAAGCCCAGCATGCGCTCGCAAGACCGAATGGCAGTTGCGTGAAGACGTAGAAACGCCCCCTCCACTGGAAACCCAAGTACTGCCAGCAGTCCTCCCTGATGTCAAGGTGATGGTAGCCGCTCTTGAGATCTAGCGTGAAAACGAAGTCGTCAGGAAGCAAGAAGCCCGGTGCCGCCTTCAGGTCTTCGTAACGAAACTTGGGGATGTGCAAGTAGTCGTTGACCGGCCGAGCGTCGTAGATGAGGCGTTTCTTGGTGCCCTGCTCGACTACTCCCAAGGGACAGACCATGCGCGGCTTCCGGGGAACCTCAAGGATGGATTTGGCGGTTAAAAGGTCGGAGATGGCCTGGTCAACAAAATCTGCATGCTGCTCTGCTGAAGCGTGATTGCCGGCAAAGTGAGGCGGCGGTGGCTGGCCCTTCTCCCACGAGAGAGGGAACCCTTCTACTATCCAGCTAAGAACCAAGGGGTTGGAGACCCAAGCATGCCATTCTTGAGCCTTAGCCCGGAGCCTCCCCCTCATAACTGGCGGCTGCGGTTTCGCCGCTGGTGCTGCCTCAGCGGAAACGGCAAATTCTCCCGGGATGTCCTCTAGATTGACCCCCTCTACGGCCTGCTCCATACCTTCTACAGGCATGGCTGGGGTAGCGGGCTCCTTGCGGTGCCGAATCCGCGGCGCCGACTCCGGCGCCCTAGCCGTCTGCGCCACCATGCCATCGCCCGATGTGACAGCCAGCTTCTTGACCGGCCTGCCGTGCTCGTTAGGGCCGCCGCCGGTACCGGCCGCCGGTTGGGCGCTCGGAACTTGATCAATCTCCCTCGCTGCCCTGGCGACGTCAGTCCGGACATCCTTCTTCTCCTTGCCAGAACCAACTAGGCTAAGAGCCCTCTTGACCCAGCTGGGGAACTTCATCTTGATCTCCTGGTCCTGCCGTTAGCACACTGACGGGTGGCGGGGGGAACGAAGGGAAGATTACGTGATAAGGAGCCCGCTGAAGGTGCCTAAGACGAACTGCAGGACCAAGGCGCGGTTAACCACCCTAGATTAAGCAACTGACAGCTGCCAAAGCTGCCGACCACCGGGGGAAGGACCTCAGGCCTAAAAAAGCACCAGGCTGCCAACTTGGGACGGGGAAGAGGGAGAGGAGCGGAAGCAGTACTGTAACAAGAGCCAGTTCGAGCTGATCCAACAGCCTTAAGTCCTCAGCGCACTCCGGCGCAGTCTGCGGGGCCACAGGCCAAACCGGGAGGGGGGGGAAGTCATCAACTCTGCGCCAGCACCAGGGCCTAACGATACTAGCCGGCGGCAAAAGACCAAGGGGGCCAACCCGACCCGACAGGGCAAAACAAGCACCTCCAGCGAAACCCTTCTCTCGCGCTCCTAGCGCCTAAACCTATTCGCACGCGGGCGACTGAACACCAAGTACTAGGGGCCACCCCTCCAGGCGCACGCGGGCGCCAAGCGCACGCGGGCGCATACAAAACCCAACACGAGGCCGACCGCCGGCGCTACACAGCTGGAAACACCTCTCCTTGAAGTGTGCACGCGGGCACAACCACTTTAGCGCCTGCGCCTGTTCTCATAGCTCGCACGGTAGCGCCGCTCCCGGTCGTACTCGCGATCCGCCTCGCGCGAATCCTCGCGCGAGTCCCGCTTGAAATCCCGCTCGCGGCGATCCTGCCGCCCGCGCCTCCTGTTGCCTCCACCGCGGCCGCTCTCATCGCGCGCCGCGTTCAAGAAGGCGGTGGCCAGCGTGGCGTTAAAGGACACCTTGTCCGGAGTCAGCACCACCTCGCTGAGCGTGCTGTTGATGTAGCGGAGCATCGCATTGAGGCCGCAGCTGTGAACGCTGCCCAAGTTGTCGACCGCAGCCACGCAGATGCCTGCCATGCCCTTCATCGAGTCCAGATAGTGCTTGAGCAAGCGGTCGTCACCAGACTCCATAGACTCAATGGCGTTCCTGGCCATCATCTCAAACATCTTGTAGATCTGCTTGTGGCCGGCCTGAGGGGTGGTGAAAGGGTCGCTGGCGGTCGCGCAGAGGAGAGGGTCCAGCTCCTTGGCCAGTACCGGCTTCAAAGACCGCTGCAAGGCCTTAGGAGACGGCTTCTTCTTGATGGCAGGCTTGGCCCTCAGGCGCCTTGAGCGCGCCACTTCGCTGCGGATCAGCAACCTGAGCTTGCGAAGATCAGCCTCAGACTTGCCGGAATCCTCCTCCTCGCTATCGACAACGTCGGAGTCCTCAAAGCCGTCATCGGTCTCCTCCCCCGGCGGCGGCTGAGCGCGCGGTGCCTTAGCGGCCCCGCCATTCTGAGGCTGCTCGGGAGCGGCCGCACCTGCTTTGCGAGTAGCACTACGAGTAGCTGGTTTCTGTTGAGCTTGTGCTTGCTGGGTGATTGCTACTTTGTTGTTCTTCTTCGCCATAGAAGACGGCGCGAAGAGTGGGAACTCGGTCGAACTCGAAGGAAAGGTAAGGCTTGAAAGTAATCACTCACAGTGATGTGAGTGCTCTCTAAGTGAAGGCAGAAGGCCTTCACCAAGGAACCGAGAGGAAGATAAACAACTCAGGCAGCTCCGAAGCTGCCGTACCAAACAGAGCTCAGTCCCTACGTCGCTTCGCTCCTTCAGGACTAAGCTAATGACTGTATAAATGCTATGTAAAACGCCTTTGTTTTTTATGTGGATGTAGTGGTTGTCGAAAGTACCTTTCGCATTGCGGTGTGTGAAGGTCTGGTTTGCCGTGCAATCGTCTGTACCCAAGCTATGGCGTGAATGTGAATACTTACCGTTCTCTTCTTCGGCCACTCAACATTGTCGCTGGAGTATAAGGGCAAGTAGTTAGAATGCCGTACAGAAAAGCGACGTCAGACGTCGTCTTTTTGAAGGGCATCATTTGCCGAGTTATGTTAACAGCACAACCACCATTGATACTCCTGCGTGTCTTGATTTTTGTTACCTTTCAAAGCTGTGGAAAAGCGAGGCACGACATCCTTCTCCTCCAGCCACACATTGCAGCCTGGTGTGTGCGTCAACTCGTGTATGAGCTTGTCGCCAACTAATTCACTATGACGTACATGCCGCACACACGCACGCTAAAGCACCATCTTCTCTCTTGCCAATAAGCTGGGCTGCGCCGTAAGTTGGGCGCTAGAAGGGGGGGGGGGGTTAGGGGGGGGGCGAAGCCCCCCCCCCCTCCAGCCGCACGTTGCAGCCTGGTGTGTGCATGAACTCGTGTATGAGCTTGTCGCCAACTAATTCACTATGACGTACAAGCCGCACACACGCACGCTAAAGCACCATCTTCTCTCTTGCCAATAAGCTGGGCTGCGCACGTAAGTTGGGCGCTAGAAGGGGGGGGGTAAGGGGGGGGGCGAAGCCCCCCCCCCTCCAGCCGCACGTTGCAGCCTGGTGTGTGCGCCCATCTCGTGTATGAGCTTGTCGCCAACTAATGCACTATGACGTACAAGCCGCACACACGCACGCTAAAGCACCATCTTCTCTCTTGCCAATAAGCTGGGCTGCGCACGTAAGTTGGGCGCTAGAAGGGGGGGGGGGTAGGGGGGGGGTAAGGGGGGGGGCGAAGCCCCCTCCCCTCCAGCCGCACGTTGCAGCCTGGTGTGTGCGCCCATCTCGTGTATGAGCTTGTCGCCAACTAATTCACTATGACGTACAAGCCGCACACACGCACGCTAAAGCACCATCTTCTCTCTTGCCAAAAAGCTGGGCTGCGCACGTAAGTTGGGCGCTAGAAGGGGGGGGGGGTAAGGGGGGGGGCGAAGCCCCCCCCCCTCCAGCCGCACGTTGCAGCCTGGTGTGTGCGCCCATCTCGTGTATGAGCTTGTCGCCAACTAATTCACTATGACGTACAAGCCGCACACACGCACGCTAAAGCACCATCTTCTCTCTTGCCAATAAGCTGGGCTGCGCACGTAAGTTGGGCGCTAGAAGGGGGGGGGGTAAGGGGGGGGGCGAAGCCCCCCCCCCTCCAGCCACACATTGCAGCCTGGTGTGTGCACCCAACTCGTGTATGAGCTTGTCGCCAACTAATTCACTATGACGTACATGCCGCACACACGCACGCTAAAGCACCATCTTCTCTCTTGCCAATAAGCTGGGCTGCGCACGTAAGTTGGGCGCTAGAAGGGGGGGGGGGTTTAGGGGGGGGGGCGAAGCCCCCCCCCCTCCAGCCGCACGTTGCAGCCTGGTGTGTGCGCCCATCTCGTGTCTGAGCATATTAACATACAATGTTGATGTAAAGAGTCTCGTTGAATTGCGATTCGTGGCGATTAGGCCAAAAACAAGAAAAACAAAAAATGTCATTTTGCTACCGACGGGGTTCGAACCCGGGTCGCCCGCGCCAATCGCGATTTTTTGAAGCGCTATCCGCGCTAAGGACATTACCAATTTTTGGTAGTTACGAACCCCCCCCTCTCTATTGGTCCCTTTCCTACGCTAACTTCGCTAGCTCCGGACTCCGTCTACGACGTCGCCCTACGACGTCGCTACATTGCTCCGGCGATAGCGCCGCGTCGTGGTCGCCGCGGCCGGGGGTACCGTAAATCCTGATTGGTGATGAATTCGCGAACGAACAAGCTTTGCGTGCCGGCATGACTTCAGCATTGCGGACCTAACGTTGGCGCGCCGACCAGTGTTGTGAGGTTGCTCATGTGTTGCAGACAAGCATGGTCGGCGGACCTGATGTCAGCGTGCGGCTCATGTTCAAAAGCAATAGTCGGCATGGCGTACATGTACGGCATGGCGTCGAACTGCTTCAAATTCAAATTTTGGGGCGCCTCCGGACGTTTTCCGCTATCGGTGACCTCTTGGGGCTGCCCTACGGCATGTTGGCGTGTCCAAGGCATGAAAAGCCCTTGTTCTGTACCAACATATACAGGTAGAGCCACGCTACCTGCGCACTACATGCACACACACACACACACACACACACACACACACACACATCTGCGCATGAGGGCGACGTCTCATGACCCGTGGGTCAGCACCTCACGGTGATGCAGAGGCGTTCAGAGGTGCTGGAGGGACGAGGGGGAGGTGAGGGGAGTGGGGAGCATGGAGGGGGGTGGGAGGGCGTGTCGAAACCCGTGCCGTACAGATGCCGTACAACCGTACGACAGTTGTCGTACACTGTCATACAACTGTCGTACATAGTCGTACATGTCGTATCATGCCCCCCCCCCCTATCCTGCACAATATGCACCACCTCCTTCCACTCCACTCACCTCCGTTCCGCTGCTGCACGCCGCTTGCCAATGCTGCAGCGCCAAGCAGTCTCCCGCACTCTCTGGTGCCTGCAAACAAAAGGGGCATCCTCAGAACAGCTCGCACCTCCCCTCTCCTCTATAAACATCCGCAGCGCGCAAGGCAGGCACCTACCGGCCTTGCGCCCCACCTTGCCCCACCCACACTGCCCGGACTTCACCTGATGCACCGCAACCGGCCGAAACTCCATCCGCATGACGTCCGAGGGCGCCATTTGCGCAGGAATGACTGCCTTGTAGCCTTTATACTTCACTTCTTCGCCTGCTTCCTTGAGTGACATCCAAGTCACCAACATGTAGCAGGCCTTATTCGCTTCTCTACCCAGATGACTCGCAACCGCTTTTACTGCTGCGCTCTCCCTCGCCAAGTTGATGGCTAAGCTAATAACGTCCTCGCCATTCAACCTGCCGATGTCCACCTCTTCTTCCGTCACCGGCACGCTTGCGCCGCTAGGTATAGCCATTCCTTGCTAAGCTATGTCCGGTTGGCAACTTAGGCTGCTGAAACGTCGGGCCGGCCCTTCCAAGACCTCGCCATTTAGGTCGCCCGAGGTGGCTCAACCGGCTGGCCAACTACCGCCTAAAACTCGCTTGTAACTATATATATCGATATCTGTAAACTTGCGCTGCCAACAAGGCCAACAGAAGGAGTGCGATAACTTGACTGACTGTGAACTTTCTCGCCTGCTCTCAAACGCGCCTAATATTTGGCGATTTACATAAAGCCGACTTTTTAAAGTATAACTATGGAAAGTATTGCGACCGCCGCGTGAGGCCGCCATGTTCACACCCACGGCCGCGGTGCAGTACAACTCTCAATATCTCCTCCTACACCGATCCATTTTACATGCCGACACTTCCTCCATGCCCACAATACATACTACTATTCAGCCGTGCTGTTCAAAGTGCAAAGCGCTCACATTCGTGGTCCGCGCAAATTTCGCATTTCAATGGACATCGGCAGGACCAACAAACAGACCTTTCCGATTTGACCCGCCACCTTCAAGCCACCCGTTGTACAGACTCCTTCTATCCAGCGCCGTCGCGCAACACGCCCTTCTCCAAGACCTCGCCACTTACGTCGCCCGAGGCAGCTCAACCGGCTGGCCAACTACCGCCTATTGGAGTATAGCTTAGTTATAGCTTAGTCGACATCACAATGCAAGATATTGCAACAAGAAGACGGGTGATACGTGGTGCCTGAACCCATGCCGTACAGTGTCGCTGTACAACAGGGGTGTTCAGAGGAGCTGGAGTGATGAAGGGGTGGTGAGGGGAGTGGGGAGTATGGAGGGGGATGGTCACGGTCACCAAACAGTTCTGCGCTGATTTTGGAAAGTAACCAATAAACTGCGAATGGCTCATTAACTCAGTTATAGCTTAGTCGAGATCACAATGCAAGACATCGCAACAAGGAGCACGGAGGGGGATGGGAGGGCGTCTCGAAACCCATACCGTACTGCGTTGCCGTACACCTCACGGTGATGCAGGGGCGGTCAGAGGTGCAGAGGAGCAATCGCCGATCAACTACATTTTTTCGGCGATCAGTAATCGACGCTTTTCAGGAGATGCGCCGACTTCACGACGGTGTTCAAAGGAGCCAGTGCGACGATCTGCCGTACTGCATTGCCGTACACCTCACGGTGATGCAGGGGCGTTCAGGGGTGCTGGAGGGGCGAGGGGGTGTTGAGGGGAGTGGGGAGCATGGAGGGGGGTGGGAGGGCGTGTCGAAACCCATGCCGTACTGCGTTGCCGTACACCTCACGGTGATGCAGGGGCGTTCAGAGGTGCTGGAGGGGCGAGGGGGTGGTGAGGGGAGTGGTGAGCATGGAGGGGGTGGGAGGGCGTGTCGAAACCCGTGCCGTACTGCGTTGCCGTACATCTCACGGTGATGCAGGGGCGTTCAGGGGTGCTGGAGGGGCGAGGGGGTGGTGAGGGGAGTGGTGAGCATGGAGGGGGGTGGGAGCACGTGTCGAAACCCATGCCGTACTGCGTTGCCGTACACCTCACGGTGATGCAGGGGCGTTCAGGGGTGCTGGAGGGGCGAGGGGGTGGTGAGGGGAGTGGGGAGCATGGAGGGGGGTGGGAGGGCGTGTCGAAACCCATGCCGTACTGCGTTGCCGTACACCTCACGGTGATGCAGGGGCGTTCAGGGGTGCTGGAGGGGCGAGGGGGTGGTGAGGGGAGTGGGGAGCATGGAGGGGGGTGGGAGGGCGTGTCGAAACCCATGCCGTACTGCGTTGCCGTACACCTCACGGTGATGCAGGGGCGTTCAGGGGTGCTGGAGGGGCGAGGGGGAGGTGAGGGGAGTGGGGAGCATGGAGGGGGTGGGAGGGCGTGTCGAAACCCATGCCGTACTGCGTTGCCGTACACCTCACGGTGATGCAGGGGCGTTCAGAGGTGCTGGAGGGGCGAGGGGGAGGTGAGGGGAGTGGGGAGCATGGAGGGGGGTGGGAGGGCGTGTCGAAACCCGTGCCGTACTGCGTTGCCGTACACCTCACGGTGATGCAGGGGCGTTCAGGGGTGCTGGAGGGGCGAGGGGGAGGTGAGGGGAGTGGGGAGCATGGAGGGGGGTGGGAGGGCGTGTCGAAACCCATGCCATACTGCGTTGCCGTACACCTCACGGTGATGCAGGGGCGTTCAGAGGTGCTGGAGGGACGAGGGGGTGGTGAGGGGGGCGGGGAGCATGGAGGGGGGTGGGAGGGCGTGTCGAAACCCATGCCGTACTGCGTTGCCGTACACCTCACGGTGATGCAGGGGCGTTCAGGGGTGCTAGAGGGGCGAGGGGGTGGTGAGGGGAGTGGTGAGCATGGAGGGGGGTGGGAGGGCGTGTCGAAACCCGTGCCGTACTGTGTTGCCGTACACCTCACGGTGATGCAGGGGCGTTCAGAGGTGCTGGAGGGGCGAGGGGGTGTTGAGGGGAGTGGGGAGCATGGAGGGGGGTGGGAGGGCGTGTCGAAACCCGTGCCGTACTGCGTTGCCGTACACCTCACGGTGATGCAGGGGCGTTCAGAGGTGCTGGAGGGGCGAGGGGGAGGTGAGGGGAGTGGGGAGCATGGAGGGGGGTGGGAGGGCGTGTCGAAACCCATGCCGTACTGCGTTGCCGTACACCTCACGGTGATGCAGGGGCGTTCAGGGGTGCTGGAGGGGCGAGGGGGAGGTGAGGGAAGTGGGGAGCATGGAGGGGGGTGGGAGGACGTGTCGAAACCCATGCCGTACTGCGTTGCCGTACACCTCACGGTGATGCAGGGGCGTTCAGGGGTGCTGGAGGGGCGAGGGGGTGGTGAGGGGAGTGGTGAGCATGGAGGGGGGTGGGAGGGCGTGTCGAAACCCGTGCCGTACTGCGTTGCCGTACACCTCACGGTGATGCATGGGCGTTCAGAGGTGCTGGAGGGGCGAGGGGGAGGTGAGGGGAGTGGGGAGCATGGAGGGGGGTGGGAGGGCGTGTCGAAACCCATGCCGTACTGCGTTGCCGTACACCTCACGGTGATGCAGGGGCGTTCAGGGGTGCTGGAGGGGCGAGGGGGAGGTGAGGGAAGTGGGGAGCATGGAGGGGGGTGGGAGGACGTGTCGAAACCCATGCCGTACTGCGTTGCCGTACACCTCACGGTGATGCAGGGGCGTTCAGGGGTGCTGGAGGGGCGAGGGGGAGGTGAGGGAAGTGGGGAGCATGGAGGGGGGTGGGAGGGCGTGTCGAAACCCATGCCGTACTGCGTTGCCGTACTACAGTGTGTTGTCGTACTCGAGATCTCCCAAAACACCATCCCCATAGGCCCATGCATCATCTCCAAGGGTGCCGAGGAAGTCGCAAAGAGGTCGCTACCCGGCTCGAACTGGAGACCTCTGGCTGGCTGAGGATAGGACTGAACGCTTAGCGCCGGAAGGTCGTTGCCACCACTTTTGTGAACGGACGGACGGACAGACAGACAGACTTTAGCGGTGATCTGTCCTCCAATCCTCCCCTCCACTTCGTTACGGGGGGATTTACGGTCACAGAGATGATTTAGCGGTGATCTGTCCTCCAATCCTCCCCTCCACTTCGTTACGGGGGGATTTACGGTCACAGACAGAGATGATTTAATTGTGATCTGTCCTCCAATCCTCCCCTCCACTTCGTTACCGGGGGATTTACGGTCACAGACAGACGAACTTTAGCGGTGATCTGTCCTCCAATCCTCCCCTCCACTTCGTTACGGGGGGATTTACGGTCAACCCTGTTCCCACCCTGTCGGCAACCCATCCCTGCCGCAACACCACTTACTTTCTAGCGCCTTTAAGCACTCGGAGCACACGATTAGGAGCTCCTCGCCCGCATCATTCACCACGACGGTTCGGTTCGGAAGGCGTCGTTCCACCCGCATGCAAAATGGCACCTCCACAAAGGCCGCGTCAACCGGGCAAGGCCGCGGATGGTGCCGCGTGGCTCTCGGTTGCAGCTCCTCGGGGAGTTCAGTCTCCTCACACGCGCCCACATCTTCGTCAACATCCTCTGGGTCGTCAGAGGTCCCGCCAGCTTCTGTGTCGATCAGGTTGGTGGCATTCGCCGCATGGCCGCCAGCTTGAGGCCGTTCAGGCCGGCGGCCGCCGGATGTAGACCGATATCCGACAGGAAGCACCGGCGACGGTGAAGCCGGTGCACATCCATCGGCCGCCCGTTCCATTTGCCGCCACGCCAAGGTATGCCCCATTCGTGTTACGACTGCAGTTGGAGGAATGTCCGCACGCAGGATGTCAACATTTGGAATCTCGTCCCATGCACAGAGGCAGGAGCCCTCCACCGAGCACTGCTCGCTACAGACTGCACAGATCCGCAGAGGCATCCGCTTCGCCACCTCCATCGACATAGCCACTGCTTCTTGGATGTGCACGTCGTACGGTACTTGGAAGTTGGCCGGCAGCTGGCCACCAGGCTGGTCCTGGACACGGGCGTTCTCTGGGGCCGTGAGGAACGCCGGCAGGTGCACGGGAGCGTTATCGTACAACAGCGATGTCTGCAGAAGGCTACAGAGTGAATCCGTTAGCGACGCATGATGTCGCGTACGACGTGTCGTACCTCCGCTCACAGAGGCAAAGCGACGCGCTCGCTGACGTGCCCTTGCCTGTGCGTGCTGCACGGCATCGCGACCTCGCTCCTCCTGTCGCTGAACGGGGTCAGCGGACCTCGCCTGGGCGTGCTGCACGGCGTCGCGACCTCGCTCCTCCTGTCGCCGAACGGGGTCAGCGGACCTCGCCTGGGCGTGTTGCACAGTGTTGCGGTCCTGCTCCTGCTGTCGCCAAACGGGGTCAGCGGACCTCGCCTGGGCGTGTTGCATAGCATCGCGGTCCCGTTCCCGCTGTCGCCGAACGGGGTCAGCGGACCTCGCCTGGGCGTGTTGCCGAGTGTTGCGGTCCTGCTCCTGCTGTCGCCGAACGGGGTCAGCGGACCTTGCCTGGGCGTGCTGCCGAGTGTCGCGGTCCTGCTCCTGCTGTCGCCGAACGGGGTCAGCGGACCTCGCCTGGGCGTGCTGCCGAGTGTCGCGGTCACGCTCCTGCTGTCGCCGAACGGGGTCAGCGGACCTCGCCTGGGCGTGTTGCAGAGTGTTGCGGTCCTGCTCCTGCTGTCGCCGAACGGGGTCAGCGGACCTTGCCTGGGCGTGCTGCCGAGTGTCGCGGTCACGCTCCTGCTGTCGCCAAAGAGGGTTCGCTCGTTGGGCTTGCATACGCTGCGCTGCCGAGGACAATCCATGGTCCTCATTACGACTGGCGAGGCGGGTTCCGCTGAATTGCGACAGCCAGTTCCCAGTCAAGCCGGGAAGCCGAGACGGTGCCGTCCAGTTCCCAGTCAAGCCGGGAAGCCGAGACGGTGCCGTCTCATGCTCTCCAATTCGCCTGTCCGCTGACACACCGCCTGCACAGGTGAATCGGCGCGGATATCAGTAGGACGATCATCACACATGGCATGTTGGGAATGGGAATGTTAAGGATGCCCCTCGAGATATTACTGCTCAGCACAGGTATTCACGAAATGTTCCACACAGGTCACGAAATGGCTGCGTCATTAGTAGACGAGAACATTTTACTTACCTCCTTCAG